GGCGGCCTCTCGAGAGGCAGCTTCCTCTCTGCCTCCGCAGGCTGGAGCGGGGTCCGCCTCTCAGAACGCAGACTCGGGGTCCGGCCTGAAGGAAGAGGCCACCCGGATGATGCCACGTCCCGAAGCCCACCAGCTCCCGCCTGAGTCACGAGGTCAAAAGGTTCGGCACCGGGCACGGTTCTCAACTCCTGACCTACCGTGTTTCCCCGAAAATAAGACACCCCCTGAAAATAAGACCTAGCGCAACTTTGGGAGAAAAAAATTAATATAAGACACTGTCTTATTTTCGGGGAAACAGGGTATGACCTCATGCGATCCTCAGAACAGTCCTTCACAGCACGCACCACCCCGTGCGGGTGGGGAAACGGGGGAAGGGGCGGGAAATGACTTCTCCTCGGTCACACGGCCACGTGGCGCAGAGCGGCCTTCACCTGGGGACGGATACCCTGGAGTGACTGCCTCTGAATCGTAGGTGCTGGGTGCAGGCCACGGCCCAGTGGTTCTCAAACTCAGCTCTGAGCCGCCCGCCCCTGCCCCAGGCCCGTCACCCACAGTCACTCTGTAGCTGGAAGGACTAAGGGGTCCATTTCAGAGATCGGTATAAGGAGCCCCGTTTTTTAACTGCAGCATGGGTATCACAGACAGATGGGGCATCCCCCCAAAAATGCATACACACACTTTGAATCATTATAAAGGTAATAAAATACATTTCACTTTCAAAATTGAGCTATCAGCTCTTAAAGTATGTTTACATTTTGAGGGGACACCCTGTATATGTATGTGTGTACACACACACACATTGAAGCCCAGTACATGAAATTCGTGTGTGTGTGTGGGGGGGGGGGGGGGTAATCCCTCAACCCTGCCTGCACCCTCTCCAATCTGGGACCCCTCAAGGGATGTCCAACTGCCGGTTTAGGCCCCATCCCTCTCACAATCCAGGACTGCTGGCTCCCAACTGCTCACCTGCCTGCCTGCCTGCCTGATTGCCCCTAACCACTTCTACCTGCCAGCCTGATTGATGTCTAACTGCTCCCCTACTGGACCAATCATCCCCAACTGCAAGCCTGGTCCCCCCAACTATCCTCCCTTGCCAACATGCCACCCCCCACAACTGCCCTCCCCTGCAGTCCTGGTCCCCCCCCCCCAAATGCCCTCCCCTGCCATCCTGGTTGCCCCTAACTGCCCTACCCTTAAGGTCTGGTTGCCCCTAACTGCCCTCACCCACTGGCCATCTTGTGGTGGCCATGTTTGACCACGTGGGGGTGGCCATCTTGTGTGAGGGTGTGATGGTCAATTTGCATAGTACCTCTTCATTAGAAGGAGAAAATGAGGCTCAGAGTGGGGGGTGGGGCAGGGGGTCATGTGCTCAAGGTCACCAGTCAGGTACAGGAAGGGCCAGGACCACAACCTGAAGCGCCTGACTCCACAGGCGGCCTGGACACGTCCCCGCGTGGAATTTCTCAGGGAAACCTTCCTTTCCTAGGAATGCCGGGACCCTGCTGGGTCAGAAAGCAAGTCCCTGCCCCCACCCTGACCACCAGAAGGGGGTGTGTGTTGGGGTCCTAGGAGGCGGGGCTTGTGGGGTGCCACCAGCCTGAGAGCGCCCAGCACCCCATCTGTGTGGTCTTCTCTCCCGTCAATCACCCCCTCCTATCGAGAACTGCGAGCGTGTTCCTGGGCGCAGTTAACCTGTGAGAGTCACGGTCACACGGGGTTTCCGTGCTAACTTGGAGAGAGAGCTCGGTGTGTCCAGATCCAGAAAGGGACGAGGCCAAGTGTGGACGACGGCCCTTCCCACCTGCAGAGCGGCCTGCCCCGCCCCATGGGGACCTGGGGTGCCGTGGCTCCAGTGCAGCTGCTCACAAATGGGCACTGGACCCACTGAAGCCAACAGCCGGGGCCCGGGCAGGAGCCTCGGAGGGACAGACGCCACCGGAGCAGGGAGCCGCGGGCTGAAACTCACCAGGAAATCCGGGGTGCGGCCTGGCACAGCTGATGCACGGGGGACAGTGCTACCCTGTTTCCCCGAAAACAAGACAGTGTCTTCTATTAATTTTTGCTCCCAAAGATGCGCTAGGTCCTATTTTCAGGGGATGTCTTATTTTTCCATGAAGAAGAATACGGTACACATTTATTGTTAAGTGAAAATAAAGGAAGTTTATTACCTGTATATGGTACGGTAGTACGGTAGTTGTCAACACAAACCAGACAAACTGAATCCTACAGTATCAAGAATGTACTCATTTATTCAATGACAATCATGTCATCATCTTCTGGAACATCATCGTAACAATCCAATTCCTGAATTTCCTGGTGAATTTCTTGTGACTCCATTTCTTTCAGAATCAGTGGACCAAATCTCTCATATTTAGCCTAGAGGGGGCCTTATTTTCGGGGGGATGTCTTATATTTCATTCAGAAGGAAACCTATAAGTAGGTCTTATTTTCAGGGAAACACGGTAGGAATCGGGGTGGAGTGCTGGAGACTGAGAGCGGCGCTGGGGGTCAGGAGGAGAGGTCCCAGGGACCCCACACACAGACACCACGCTGCCAGCAAGTGTGGGGGCTGCTCTGGTCTCTGAGTCCTCAGAGCATCAAGCTATACCACCCAAGAAGGCCTCAGACGGAGGAGGCCATGGCCGAAACCAGTGTGGCTCAGTGGATAGAGCGTCGGCTTGCGGACGGAAGGGTCCTGGGTTCGATTCCGGTCAAGGGGCATGTGCCTTGGTTGCAGGCACATCCCCAGGTTGGGGGCATGCAGGAGGCAGCTGATGGATGATTCTCTCTCATCGATGTTTCTAGCTCTCTATCCCTCTCTCTTCCTCTCTGTGAAAAAATCAATAAAATATATATTTAAAAAAAAAAAAAGAGGAGGCCACGCCACAGGATCAAATCCTACCTCTGTTCCTCCATCCCCTTTCAGGGGTTCTTACAGGGGGACAGGCCCCTTCCTGCTGCCCCCACCAGCACCAGACTACACGCAGCGCGAGGGCAGGGACCCTCGCCTGACTCTGCCTGGGCTGCACAGTGTCTACAAAGTAGTGTGTATCAGACCCTGGTACCCAAACATGGCCTCCCGTGGAGGAATGGATGAGTGAATGAGTGAATGAGTGAATGAGAGCAGTGAGCCCTCGATGTTGCTGAGCCTCGTTCTCTCCTCTGTAACGTGGGAGAGAACCCACCTAAGGTTGCTGTGAGGATTTCATTCCAGAATGCACGCAACATGCCCAGCACAAGGCGGCGAGCAGGAGGCCCTCAGGACTCCCCCCTCACAAGGAGGCAGGCGTCCCGGCGGCTGCGAGCAGGTGTGAGAGGAGCATCCCCTGGACGTAGGCAGGGGCGTGGGACTCGGTGGGAAGAGGGCGGCCCTGTCAGGAGGCATCCTGCTGACAGACCCCAGGTCCCCAGCTTGGCCCAGCCTCCCCAGCGGAGACTTGACTTCCCCGTCTGCGCGATGGGGACGGAGCGGCTCCCGCACGGCCCAGCTGCTTCTCGGAAGGGCTGGAGCCAGCAGAGGGTGTGGCAGAGCCCCGAGCGCCAAGGAGATGGTGTGCCTGCCCCCCAGGACGTGACCAAGTCTGGTCACACACATTTGCTGATCGCCCATAGCTCGCCCTCCCTGCCCTGCCCGCCCGCAGCCGCCGCAGGGCCCGCAGCGCTGATCCCAGGAAGCCTCGGGAGCCGGCAGCCGCCCAGACAGCCCAGAACCCGGCACCCAGCGAGCAGGGACCACGGCCCAGACCTACCGGCTGGGACAGGAGCCCCCGTCACCCTGGACCCCAGGCCGCGTGACGTCTATGCGAACCCCTCCCAGGCGAATCTTCTCTGGACATTCAGGGCATAACCCAGGCACCATGGTGCCCGCACGTGTCAGAGGGGCTGCTGGGAAGGCGACCTCACCAGCAGCGAGGCCCAGCGAGCTCTTGGCCCTGGAGCTGGGCCGTCTGCGGCCTTCCACAGAGATGAGGCTCCTGCAGGACTCCTCCCTGGGAACGGCTTCAACGACACGCAAACCCGGCCCCACAAATACCATCTTCCTTCCACCACCCACGCCAAGAGAAACCTGCCCGTGTCCCCGCTCTGCGCCCACCCTCCCCTCTCCCGCCTGGGTGTGTGGGCATCGGGCTCCTGTGGCCGCCATGTGCCTGCCGCACACCAGGCCGGCGGCCGAGGAGCCCCCACAGCCGAGGGGCACAGCACAGGGCACGCACGCCGGGCCCAGGCCAGAGAGGAGGCGGCGCTGTGTTTGGGGACCGGGACGCGGGGAGGGGGGCGGTGGTTGTCATAGCTGCCAGGGGGAGTCATCTCACTGGCCCAGCCTCGTCCACCGAAAGCCGGCGCACAGTAGGTGCTCAGCTCCTCAGTAAGCACATGGCCCTGCCCCAGCCCCTTAACCCCTCCCCCAACACTACTCCCCTCCCCCCGAAAGTCTCCTTCAAAGTGTTTTTTCCCCTCGAAGCTAATGGGCAACACATTCTCACGGAGAGAAACGCGCTGTGGACGGCTCGGCAGCGTACACAGACAGCCACCACGGAATCCTGCTGGCTGTGTCTGGGGTGGGAGGGGCGGCCGGGGGGGCGGGTATGGGGAGGGGCGGGGAAGGGGCCGGCAGTGGCGAGGGCAGGAGGGAACCTCAGCTGTTACCCGTTATCCAATTAAAGCGTTAGCTAAACAGCCCAGAGAGATGGAATTGGGAGGCTGGCAGTGCATTCTGGGAGACTCTCAGGATGGGGCGGAGGCAGGCGTGGGGACCTCCTGACCCACGGGGACCAGGCCCCCAGTGCTCCGTTCCGTCCGCATCCTTCACCACGTCCCCTGGAGGCCCCCATCCCCACCCGAAAATGCCTTTTGGGGCAGGGAGAGGCTGCACAGCCCCCCCCCGGGTCCCCACCTCGCCCCGGCCCCCCCGGGAGAGGTGGCAGCGGCTGGCTCTGCCGGGTGCACCCCGCGCCCCCTCCCCCCGGGAGCCCGCCCCCCAGCCCCGCGGCGTCTGTTACCTGACAACTGACACTGACATCCAAAGGGAGCCTCCGCGTGCCCCTCGCCCTGAGTCCCGTCGCCCGAGCCCGGGCGCACGCTGCAGCACGGCAGGGGGAAGCAGGGCAGAGCGCCCAGGGCGCGCAGAGGTGAGGTGATGACGGATGCGTGAGGGTGGGAGGAGGAGGCAGCTATGGGGGCCATCGCGGGCAGCTGGGCAGGCCTGCACGGCCCTGGAGAAAAAACAATAGAAAAGACTGGTCAGTCGGGCCCTGGACGGGACACGGGGCTTGGGGTGCAGGACGGGGGCCCGGGGGCACAGGGCTGCAGGCCGCCCTTTCGGGGTGCCAGGCCCTGCAAGGGAGACTGCGGGGCACAGGCTGGGGCCTGGGGGTGCTCCCTCCACAGCTGCCGGGCTGGGCTGTCTTAGGGCCAGGCTCCCATCCCCGAGGGCCTGAGGCAGGGAGCTGTCAGGGTGCCCACTCCCAGGTAGGTCCCCCTATGGGGGGAGGGGGTGCGTCTAAAGTGCTGGGGAGCAGGCTGCATGGGGCATCTGCTCCCGTAACTCTGGGCCACCCCCCTCCGGGGAACTCCAGGCCCCCGCGCGCTCTGCCCGGACGGCTGTCTGTACAGGCCCGGCCTCCCCCGTCCACCTCAGAGCGCCGGGCGCCAGTTAGCCTCCAGCCTGGCGAGCGGCCAGTGGGTGCCGCCCTGCAGCCGGAGACCCGCCTCCACGCCCCATGCCCCGAGGCCTCTCTGAGGCTTCAGATGCCCCCAAGAGAGCCCTGCCTGGCACCGCCCAGCCCCCCTCGGCACTCCCGCCCCTCCCCGCCCGACGGCCAGGACACGGGGGCCGGGGGCCTGCCCGCCCCTGCTGCCCGGCACGGCCTGCGTCTGATTTGGCCGTTTATCTTAAACGGTGGAGAGACCACCAGGGCAAAACATTTGTGTGAAGCCCTTGCCAAAACCACAAGTGAAGAAGCCCAAATTCCCTGGGTAAATAGCTGAGCGGGGAAGCATCAGAGAGACAAAAAGAAAAACGTCAACAAGACGACAGGCAGCTGGGCCCAGGGCCGGCTCCCCGCCCCACGCAGGTCTGCAGGGGGGCGTGTGCCCACCCCACGGCCCCATTGGGGACTTGCCATTTAGAGAGACACCGGGCCCTGCAATTCCAGCTTCCTAACATGCCCTGCCGTGAGGCAGACGATACCCAGTGCACAGACCCCGAAACTGAGGACCTGGGCCCAGAAGGCTGTACACTAAGGTGACCAGACATCCCGCTTTTGGCGGGACAGTCCCGATTTTTAACAATTTGTCCCAAGTACTGAGGCGTTTTAAAAAAAAAAGTCCCAGTCCTGACCCGCCTGCAGAGGAGGCCTGCTGGGGGCGGAGGTGCTCACTGCTGGAGCAGTATAAGCCTGCCCACGGGTGCGACTCCAGAAGCCCTGGCCCCAAGCGAGGGCCAAAGCCCAAGGTGCTGAGAGGAGCCACCTACTGTGTGCTCACATGTGCAGGGAGGCTCCGGGGCAGGCAAACCCAGAGAGAGCCTTGGGGAGGGGCGGGGAGGGGAGAGAGAGGGCTTGCTTTCGGAGGAATGAAAACGTTCTGGCATTAGATCGTGGTGATGGCTGCCCAACACTGTGACTACACTCAAAACCATGACCTGTCCCCCTTGCAAGGGTTAAAACGGTGAATTTTTTTTTATGTGAATCTCATCTCCATTTCCTTTTCAAGCCTGTCTCTGGCTGCCCAGCCCAGGCCACCTCTCAGCTCTGGCTCCTCCTCCAGGAACGCGTGTCTGCCCTCACAGGCCCGGCCAGCGCCCTGCCCGTGTGGTTCCGGGGTGGAGCCTCGGCCCGTGGGCCAGAAGGTCACAGTTCGATTCCCGGTTGGGGCACATGTTCCGGTTTCAGGCTCAGGCCCCAGCATGGGGGGTGCAGGAGGCAGCCGGTCAATGATGTTTCTCTCTCATCCATGTTCCTCTCTCTCTCTCTCAATTCCTCCCCCTTCCTCTCTCTCTCTGAAAATCAATAGAAAACATAATTTAAAAAAATAAAGGGCAGCCCTAACCGATTTGGCTCAGTGGATAGAACACCGGCCTGCAGATCAAGAAGTCCCAGGTTCAATTCCGGTCAAGAGCATGTACCTTGATTGTGGGCACAGCCCCAGTGGGGGGCGGTGCAGGAGGCAGCTGAGGGATGTTTCTCTCTCATCCCTGACTCTCTATCCCTCTCCCTCTCTCTTTCTCTAAAAATCAATAATTTAAAAAAAAAAATAATAAAGTGCAGAACTCCTGACAGAGCGCTCAGGCCCTGTGACCAGGCGCTGACACGTGCACAGGAAGCTGGGAGCTCAGGGAGAGGCGGCCCCCGGAGCCCGAGGCCTGGGTTCTGATCTGCCCTCGGCCGTTCCTCTCTCCTCTGCCATTTCCTGGGTGAGTCACTCCTCAGACTCCGCCTTTGAGGGACAGTCCGGACACGCGGGGCCTGAGCAGAGCTTCGAGGAGACAGGCAATCACTGGTCCCCCTGCCCGTTTACACTCTGTATTTATCCATTGTTTCGTTCATTCCTTTCTTTTCCTTTCTGGACCTCTTCCCTCCCTCCGCTCCCGTGGAATGGCACCCTGAGGAGCCCTGCAGGGCGCCCCTGCACAAAACAATGTCTCCGAGGGCTCGGCGGGCTCCCCCTGGCACCGGCCCAGACGCACGTGTGCGGTGGTATGTGGCAGAGGGACGCCGAGACGCCATCCCAGCTTTACCGGGATCCGGGCGGCTTAAACATAAACCCCTGGCTGGCCGGCCCGCTTATCACGGAAGCTCACTTTCATTAGGGAAAGAGAAATCAACGGCAAATGCATCTATCCTCTCCTGGGGGCCCGGCCGCAGCCCCAGGAAGCCAGTGACTGCACCGCCCTCTCGCACAGATGAGGAAACCGAGGCTGGGGGCCCGGGACCCCGGGGCCGTGGGCTTCGGACCCTCCCTCTGCGCATCCGCACACAGAGGACACGCCCATGCGTGTCTGGACCCCACGCGTGTCGAGGACCCCACGCGTGTCTGACTCCGCATCCGGGCGTAAAGTCCTATTTAATGCATCATTCCAGGAGGTGGGGGGGGGGGGGGTAACCTGCTCTCCCTTCGGGAGGGGCCCTGCAGAGGGTGCGGCTTCCTTCCTCGCACATGCGCACTTGCCCAGCACACACACGCATGCACACACACACACACACATACACACACACACACACACACACACACACACGCACGCGCACACGCCCACCGGCGGCGTGGAGACACAGAAACCCTCCCGGGAGAGTCAGGGCCTGGTTCGGAGGGGAATGGGAGCCTTTCCCCAGGCTGCACCCTTGGGTGACGCCCCTCCCCCGTGGGTGGGAGGGGTGCAGACCCCCAGCCGGGAGACGGGCTCTGGAATACACTGTGCCCATGTATATTTTTCTCCCTACCGGTGCCTTTCAACGGATAACATTTTTTTAAAAGCCAAGAGCTCCTCCTGAGAGTGCAAAAACACCAGCCGCAGGCCCCGGAGGGCGACAGACAGACAGACAGACAGCCGGGGAGCCAGCGCCCGTGGCGAGGGCCCCTGGCAAGGGAACCTGACAGCCCCCCCCGCCCCTCCCCCCAACGCCAAGACATTAATTCTCACAAGTCGGGGAAAATTACTATGCATGAATGCAAAAAGCATGATCAGGAGTAATTAACATGGCTTCATATGCAAATTTTATTAATGCAGAAGTACAAAGTCATTATGCAAATGAAACTTACGTCAACTCTCTTGACAAATATTCATCGCGGAGGCTCAAGTTTCTCCCTCTTTATTTATTTAATTTTTCCTCTCCCCCCCCCTTGTTTTTTTCCTGAGTCTTATCATTTTTTTTAGAGGCCCAGGTAGTGCCGCTGAGGGCGGTGTCGGCAGCAGCAAGCCACACGGACCCTGTGACAAGTTTGCAAAGTTGCATTTCAACCAGAGGAATTTATTCTTGCATCGTTGATTTTTTTTTTTTTTTTTTTTTGTAGTTGGCAGGTAAGCGACAGCTCATAGGAGAAGGGGGAAAAATTTAAAAAAATAGAAAAGCGCTGGGCAGCCGGCAGCCAATCAAAACGCCAGAGCCCGTAATGAGGGCGATTGATGGCTGTTTGGCTTTTACTGCAGGGTAATGAGGAGGGGGAAAAATATGAATATTCATGAGGCTGTGCTCCTGCCTTTGATGATTAAAGAAATTTTTAATATTCAAATAAGCGCTTGCCAAGTGATTAACAAAGAACATGCACGCAGAAATATGGAAATGGGAGCCGGGGAAGATGTGAGAGCCGGAGCAGACTGCAGGAAAAGCCAGCCTCCAATTTCACAAACAAGATAGGCAGATAACCCAGTTAGCAGGCGGGCAAATAAAAACATCTCTTTCGGATCGCTTCAATATTTTGCCAGCTACTTTGTCTTAAGGAGGATAAAAATGCTATGTATGAAGGGGGTGGGGCAGGCGGGTGGGGGGGGGAGAGAGAAAGGGAGAAATCACAGGAAGTCAAAGGCAGGCTCACAGTGAAGGATCCTGATCCCAGTCCCAGCCCACCGCCCCCACCTGATGGGAGGGAAATCGGACTCTTTTTCCGGTGTGCTAGGGCGAGGGGAGGGAGGGGAGCCAGCTCAGGCTTGGAAACCCAAGGCTGGCCAGTTTGGGGCGGTCATGTGTTGCTTCTCAGAGGGGACTGGAGGACGGTGAGAGAGAGAGAGAGAGAGAGAGAGAGAGAGAGAGAGAGAGAGAGGAAGGTGTGACTCTGGGGGCCCCAGCCTGAACAGCTCGGCACCTCCCTGGTGGAAACACAGGAGGGGGTCCCAGGGGGAAGGCAGAAGCATGTCCAGAAGCTAAAAGGACCCAGACTTCTTCGGAGAGGGGCCCGGCCTGGCCATCTCAGGGCCACCCCGGGGGAACCAGCTGGCCCCAAACAGAGGGAGCCTCTATAGCCGCAGCCCAGGACCCCCACTTTCCCAGCCCGGCATGTGCACAGGGAAGCACAGAATAACGGCACTCGCTGGCAAAACGACCCCGCGGTCAAAATACGTCTCATTGGCAGTCGGTGGCATCCATTTTGGCAATTTCCTCTTTGAAAGGAGCGGAATGCCACCTTCACTGAGACGGCTGGTACTCCCCAGACAGGTCCTGGCCCTCACCCGTCCTCCTCTCTCCTGCCCGTTGGGGAACAGCGGGGTGTAGGGGCAGGG